GAATAGCGTTAGAAGAAAAAGAAACACTAATTTCAATTTACTTCTTATAGTCATGTTCAGACTCGATAAAACATCCCTAGATTCATGGCAATTGAATATTTTTAGGTCAAACTGAATAATCTTTAATCTCATACATTTTAAAATCTTGATCAGAACAGTTATTTTGATCACAGTCTATGTATTTAATTATAAAACAATAGCACATATAATTTTAAATAACCGTTCTTATTACCAGTATATGGATGGTATGTCAGTATGGTCTATTAGTATATTTAAGACATGTAGCTAAAACACTAGAATTTGAGGCACTAGTTCTTTTTTTATATATGTAAAAATCTGCATGTATCATTAGGGGAACTATTTTTAACTTTTATTGTACTATTGTGTAATTAATTTGTCCACTAAGTAAAGCTAATCTATTTGAAGAACCATTAGGATCTGGGGGTGGTTGATATTTAAAAAAAAAAGCATGATAGTGGTTATATTAACAGCTTTCATTTATCAATGGACTTGCTTCACTACAATGATCCTTGTATATAAGCTGCAGTTAACGTTTTCTTCAACTGTCTTCTGACTTATTTGTTTTATGGCATCTTGCTAACATGGGAAACATAACACATTCCAAAAGTTTTGTATCTCTAAAGATGTTTCTTTCCTGTGTTTTGGATCTCAGTTACTGGAATATTATTCTAAGACCTAGGAACTATTCTCGTATTCTCGGCAAAAACAAAACAACAAAACAAAACAAAAAACATCTTCTATATTTACCCCAAGTTACACAGCTAAAATGACATTTGCTGCCCAGTAAATTTCTTCTCAGCTAACAATAAACTGTCAAGGATTCTCCCCCCTTTCTCAATTTTAAGAGAGATTCAGCAAATCCTTTCCATGTGTAAAAAGAGGCATGGTGCAGTATTTTTTTTTTTTTTTTGCTCAGGTAACTACTTTTGCATCCACTAGCTGTGGGTGGAGAACACAATTTAATTGTTTTAGTAGATGATGTAGGTTTGTTTGTGATTTAATTAGAATTTAATTCAGAAAGAATAAACTAAATGATTTTCACTGAGGTAACTAATATAATTGAAATTAAATGTCAGGCTGGGTTAAAGTCCTGTGGAATTTCTGACTGCTGTATTTGCTAGGGATTTCTCTCTTTTCACTGACAATGAGTGCGATCTGGTGGATAAGAGCTCAAGTAAGGACAGTATCTGGCCATCTTTACCTGTGCTTTCTAGTATGTTGTGAGAACTTGAATGTATTCAGCTGGAATTCTTAGAGCTGGTGTCACTAGATTTTTCAATGTGGAAACTGCATGACCTTCCCAGAATTGACCTTCAAGTCACTCAGTGTCACTTTTACAGCATTATGTTGATAACAAATAACTTATGCCACCATACGTCTAACTGATGAATCTGCCCAGCCCAGGGTTCTCTGTTCTTCTAAAATGTCTTTATCATTCTATCCTGTCTCATTGATGAAATTCTCCAATTCATCTCTGTTAGTCTAATTCCCTTCTGTCTTCCAAAATCTGCCTTTGTACTATGTGCCCAAACTTTTAGTAGCTTTGATGTTGTGGTTAAGCCAGAGAAATGCTAGGTTAAGTGGCAGGTATCCTAACTTACAAGCTTGGGAAAGTTATTTAAACCTTTCATGGGGTAACAGAACTAACAAAACATACATGTCCTATAGGATTTTATGACAATACAGAACACGGTTTTGCCTCATCATACTTAGCATATGATGCTAGTTTTCTTATAATATCCCCTATAGTATTTTTTAAGTTTTGTTTTTAAGTTATAATTTAATTACATTTCTCCCTTTCCAAACTTCCCATATGACTATCCCTTTCCTCCTTCAAATTCATGACTCCTTTTTTTACTAATTGTTATTGAATGCACATGTCTATTTATACACTCATATATATTACTATATGACCTATAGGGTCCATATAATCTGCTGTGGGATGTTGTTTTATATGCTGTGAATATGTGTTGCTCTGATTTGGTTGATATATAAAACACTGATTGGCCAGTAGCCAGGCAGGAGGGATAAGCAGACAAGGAGAATTCTGGGAAGAGGAAGGCTGAGTCAGGAGTCACCAGCCAGATACAGAGGAAGCAAGAAGACAAAGCAGAACTGAGAAAAGGTACCAAGCCACATGGCTAAACATAGATAAGAATTATGGATTAATTTAAGTGCAAGAGCTAGTCAGTAATAGGCCTGAGCTAATGGCCAAGCAGTTATAATTAATATAAGCCTCTGTGTGTTTACTTGGTGGACACAAGTGGGAGAAATTTGTCCAGCCAGCCAGGACACAGGAAAACTTCCAAATACATTTGGTGCTCACTGTTGGGCATTGAACCACATAAACCTAAGAGAGCTTAAAGATTCTAAATACACAGAAACAGAGTCACACTAGGCTTCCTAGTCTCACAGTCTCATGCCAGTAGCAGCGTAGAGACTTGTCTTCCAACAACTGCCTGTGAGATGAAGCTGGCCGCCAGCTGCCATAAGCTAAGCAGCTTGGCGAATTCCCACCACAGTACACAGTGGCATCTCCAAGCTGTGCAGCACACTGCATGGTGGATTTAGCTTTTGCTAGTATTAAAAAAAGAGGTTTCTGGGCTACATGCTGCTGGATGGAGACATGGACCCACTGCCTCCCAGAGTCAGCAGAAAGCATGGCTCCCAGAGCTGGCAGTGAATTAACTCTGCCATGTTGAAAAGCTAAGATTAGTGGAGTCAACAGCCAAGGCTGCTGCTTCAGTACTAGACACTGCAGTTTAAAGCAATAGATTCACAAAAAGACAGATTCAGATGGGATAAACCCTAAACAGTTTACAATGTGTGTAAAAGTGTATGTAGGCTTGGAAGAGAAAGGAAAGGGAGTATAGACAGTTATGTACAGAAATAGAAAGCTTAAAAAAAAGTCTTTAAGGAGAAAGTAAAAGTAATATAAAAAATAAGCCACATAAAGATGGAAATCACACAGAGAGTCTAGATTATGTTGTCTTTGGTCTTTTTAACTGCAGAAAGACAGTTAATTATAAATGCTGCTCAGTTAAAGCAACATATGTATTTTAAAGGTATCTTGACTTCAAAGTTTGGATCTGAGATATGTTACTTTGGAAAGGAGACTCTGTTTTTGTTTCCACAGAAAGCAAAAGGCTATGGATTTGTTCCAGGTTAAGATGGATCAGACCTTAGCAGATGGTACCTATCAACAAAGGTTATAGCCAGGACTTGACTATTATCCTGAATTTTCTCACAATCCCCATAAGACTACCAGCATGCCCTATCAGCAGGAAGTAGCCTAGAACACTATGCCCACATTCCCAAAAATATGGATTATAGATATTTGTCTGTGGTTAGAGATTGGTTACAAATTGTTGTTGGTCACAGTAAATATCTTTCTAAAGAAAAAAGGATAGAATATAGATATGATAGGATGAAAGGGTAGATTATTAAATCTACTTTTAAAGAGCAACAACTTGTGTAAAATATTGTAAATTGTTATAGATTTTAGTTTATTACAAATTTAAAGTTAATTTTGTTATACTGTATATATATTTCTACTCTCATTTAAGGTATTATGTTTATGTAACTCATTTAAATTGTAATGGATAATTAAGAAATACAGATTAATAGTCTTCTATGATAATCACACTTTAGTTAAGTTTTCTAGACATACACAGATATTTTTCAATTAGGTAGGTAATCTTCAAACACTTCAAAGACCTACAGAATACAACATTTAAAATGTTTTAAGAACTTTGACTTTCTGGACACTGAGACATGTCTGCTCCTGGCAGCACCAATCTACTCCAGAGAAGATAATGGGCATTGAAGAAACTCATTATGGAGTTTGCTTTCTTTGTGGCAAAAGTTAGCCACTGGGGGAAAAAATGCCCTTGAGTCAACTGATTGACAGTATGTTGTATAAACTGGATATGCAGGACCCATAGGAAGGTGACCACTGAACTTAGCAAAGTGAGATGGTCCTTCAGATTCCTGCTTCACAGAAGAAACTGCCCAACATTCTATAGGACACAAAGAAAAAAAATGACTGAGAGACTAAGTCTATGGGCTAAAGATGGATGCCCCAACGTTACAGAGGAACTTTGTATGTCTGTCTAGGCAGGCAACTGTCTCTGTCATTTCCAGAATTTTGGAAGTTGCTTACAATGAATTTCCTGTTTATTTAGGTAATATTATATTTTTCTGAGTTCTTTGACATAGTTCAAGACTAGATAGTCATAATTTTCTTTGGTTATGATATAAGATAAATTAGATATGAAACTTTAGAGTCACAAATATAGGATAGATAGAATATTTTCTTTAATTTTGCCAAATACCACTAAACTAGATACTGTAACTGTAATTCTTGCTTGATAACTGTTCTATTATATGTAATTTTTACTATGTTAAAGGTAAAACCTTCCTTTTTGATTAGAAAGAAAAGGGGAAGTGCTGTGGGATGTCATTCTGTATGCTGTGAATATGTGTTGTTCTGATTTGGTCAATAAGTAAAACACTGACTGGCAAGTAGCCAGGTAGAAGGTATAGGTGGGATAAGCAAACAAGAAGAATTCTGGGAAGAGGAAGGCCAGGCAGATACAGAGGAAGCAAGATGACAAAGCAGAACTGAGAAAAGGTACCAAACCACATGACTAAACATAGATAAGAATTATGGGTTAATTCAAGTGTAAGAGCTAGTCAGTAATAAGCCTGAGCTAATGGCCAAGCAGTTATAATTAATATAAGCCTCTGTGTGCTTACTTGGTAGACATAAGTAGGAGAGTTTGGCATGACCACTGGCCAGCCAGGACACAGAAAAACTTCCAACTACAGTAATCTATAACATAGATTAGGAGGCAGCAGGATCTTGAATATCAATGAAGAGGTCCTCCAATTCTTGAGGCCCTATAAACAAAACATAGAAAAATATTATGATAAAATTATTCTGTTATTTTAATATTTTTTCCTATGATCTCTTTTAGAAACGAAAAAAGAAAAATCTGGGAAAAGTTCTTCTGTTTTGAAAGACAAAGGTAATAGAATTCATTTAATATAACAGTATAGTTGTAAGTTAAATTATGTGAACCAGTACCTTATAAATTTGGGTGTATTATCTTCACAGTTGTGCAAAACAAAATTACAAGGCTGTTTACAACATCATATGTTTTAAAATATCAGCATTTATAAGGAAGTGGGGGAGGGGAAGGCAGAAATAAAGGACAGAAGGAGTTTTGTTAATGAAAAGTAACATATATAAGAAAATAGAAGTATTAGGAAATATTTGCCTTTCTAGCCTCTGACTCCCTCATTCCACTAAAATATATGTATTTGGTAAAAGATACCATTGAAACCCTTAAAACCATTTGAAAAGGAAAAATGATGATTCTAGAAAAAGGAACCAAGACACTAATTGGAGTTCTGAATCCTCTTATTTTCTAATACTATCAGGCTTATTCTGTGTGTTTAGTCTTATCAGATTCTTATTGCTACAGAAACATAAAATTATTATTTAAACATCATGATTTGGGTTTCATGACAATAGTTAATTTACTGCCCATCAAAATCCTAGTCTTTTTTATTATTATTTATTTTTTGAGACAGGGTTTCTCTGTGTAGCTTTGTACCTTTCCTGGAACTCACTCGGTAGCCCAGGCTGGCCTCAAACTCACAGAGATCCACCTGCCTCTGCCTCCTGAGTGCTGGGATTAAAGGTGTGTGCCACCACCACCCGGCCAAAATCCTAGTCTTATTTCAAAAATAATTTCTTCATAAATCATCAACTTCATTTATTGCAGCTTTACCTCAGCCTCCTCTCTTCAGAACTAATAGAATAAAATTTTTACTTACTGCATATACAAGTTACATTAATTAGGGTTTCTATTGTGGAAAGAGATACTATGACCAAGGCAACTCTTATAAATGTAACTACTTACTTGGCAGCTTGGTTAAAATTTCAGAAGATTAGTCTATTATCATCATCATGGGGAGCACGGTGACATTCGGACAGGCATATTAGCTGAGAGATTTAGACCATCATCCCCAGGCAGTAGGCAGAGAGAGACACACTGGGCTTGGCATGGGCTTTTGAAAGCTCAAAAGCCTAACCTCAATGACACACATTCTCCAACAGGAAATACCTATTCTTAGAAGGCCTCACTTCCTAATTCATCCAAATAGCTCATCAACTGAGGAATAAGCATGCAAATACATGAGTTTATTGGGGGCATTCTTATTCAAACCACCATATTCCACTCTCTAGCTCCCATAGGCTGGTATCCATATCGTAATACAAAATTTGTTTGCTTCAACCTCAAAAGTCCCAATAGTCTTTCCTTCTAAAACTTGTTTAGGCCTCTTATGAGACTCAAGGGAATCTCTTAATTATGGTCATCTGTAAAATAATTATCCATAAGTATATCCTTCCAACATAAAATGTCACAGAATATATATTACTTTTCCAAAAATTGAGCAGTGATGGACCAAATCAAGACTGAAAATCAGCAGGAGAAACTCCACATTTAACATCTCCATGTTTAATGTCAAGTTGCTTTCCAGAACTACAACTCCTTCTGGCATTGTTGACCTCAACACACTGCTCTCTCTGAGCTGGTTCCACACCCAGTTTGCAGCTCTCCTTTGCAGGTATCCCATGGCTCCGGAACCTCCAACACCTTGGGGTCTCCAAAGGAATCTGATCTTTATACTCACAGCCTCATGAAATAGCCTCTCCAGGCCTCTAAACCATGTGGGAAGATTCTTTCTTGTATCCTTAATGATAAAGCTGAAACCACAGGACCAAAAGCTATCAAATTCTTCTGTTTCCCAAGACTAGAACTTGGGCCCTTCCTTGACTTGCATTTGCATAAGCTTTCCAGTGGGTTTTTTTTTTCCCTCACTGCTTAAACTTTCTTTTAATTCCTTTTCATAAGTGAGAAACTTAGCTGGGTAGGGTCTGGCCCTTAGGGAAAACTACTCCTGTTATTACATTTAGCACTGAGTTTTCCTTTAAACATTTTGTCTCTTGGAGCAGAATTTGGTTCCAATATTGCATTTCCTTGTGTTTTTTTTCTTTCTCTCCTCAAATAGCACATTTTGCATTCCTCTTTGCCCCCTTGCTCCTTTTCATTATAGATTTTGCATTATAGTGATCATTAATAACCAACCACAGTCAATAGCAAGTTGTCTTGAAATCTCCTGTGCCAATGCCATTAATGTAAAACTCTTCAACTTAGCCTCTTGCAAATTTTTTAGGACAATAGCAAAAAGAAGCTACATCCTTTGCCAAAGTATCACATGGTGGGAGTGTTGCAGAGGCAGAGTGATATTTGTACAAGTTCAACATTCTCTTCTATCTGTCTCTCTCCTTCCCTCCTTCTTTCCTTCTTTCTCTCTACTTTTGCTTCTCACCTTCTCTTCCCCTCCTCTCTCTACACACATATATGTGTGCTTAGGTGTTTCGGTGCACATATTGTACAATTCACAATCTACAATAAGTGTACTTTCCTTCTAATGTAGCTTGAGATAACTTTGTTTTACTTGATAATTGTGTAATGAGCATGTTTAGTTTATGAATTATTATTTACTACATAGGGAACTCAAAGAAAGATTGACACTTACCTCTAACACCAACTCTCCAGGTAATAAAACTATTACAAATTTAAATTTTTGTTTAAAGACATAACCTTGCCAAACCCCAAATTTGTATGAAAGTGGAGTTATAAAAACCTATCCTGGTAAATAAAATATCATAGACTTAAGTCTGTATTAGCTAGTTCACCAAGTTAACTACATAGACTCCTGTAATTTATGTTCTTATTAACATACAATTACAAATAAACGTCCAGTGAGACTTTCCCTCCATTTAGAATTATCTACTCTTTGCAGAATGTCTGCACACTCATTATAAAACCTTATAAATGTATATGTATGTGCACAAATATAAAAAATACATGGTTTTGTTGTATATGGCTATTGATTTAGAACTATTACAGTGGACTTCTTTATTTTTTAAAAGGTTAACATTAAAGCACTAAAATATCTTTCTAAGTTATATCAGATATTGTCTCAGAGGAAAACTATTCCTTTTTCTAGTTCTTAGCATAATTTATCATTCTAAAGTATATCAAAGAAAAATGTAATATCCCATATAAGATTTGGGGCTTTGAAAACCTCCAGGATGCTTTTCTTCCTGGAGTGTCTCTTTGAAGCCTGCTGTGGAAGTCTGTCTAAAGAAGCATGAAGCAATTTCACTTGTTAAAAGACCTCCTACTTCATCTCACTGTATTTCACGAGTTATTTCTCTTAGGCAGAAAGTGAATTTAAGCATTTACCAGTCTCCCATAGACTCTAATGCATGGACAGTCAAACCCATGTTGAATCATATTAAAATTCTAAAAAAGTAGCATTATTACAGAAAAATCATTTGAGACCACATTTTCAAGAGCTATACTAATATTAATCAATTAGGCATTTAGATAAGAGTATTGGACTTGTGTCTTTATGTAAGGAAGAGTAGGGAACTCTTGAAAAGGAAGATCAGCACACCTTGGTGCCTTTTGTTCCTGGCTGAGCTTTTAGAATGGTGAGTTCAAGACTTAAACTTTCTTCTAACATCTCAATACACATACAAGGAAGAGCCCTACTTATGTGGCCTTGGCATCCAGAAACCAGAAAACTCCAGTAGTGATACTGGTTGTTGGTTAGCTTTCTTGTAGCATACGAAACTTCTTTCTCCACTAAAATCAGTCATCCTTGAGGTTTTTGTTTCAATTATGTTTTATAACTGCTTTAATTTCATACAAACATAAATATGCACCTCCTGCCAGTAAGACTTTGAACCTGGAACTTGAAGACTTCGGGATACCACACTGGGAATCTGGCCACACCATCATTTCTCCATTCATTAAAAAAAAAAAATTGCTCTAGAAGCAGTAACTTACTCCCATCTTTGAAAAAGGGAATGAGTATACCTGTTGTGTTTCTTGATCCATGGCTTTTGATATCAATTTTACACTCTGGAATATAGGTGAAAAGCTGACCCTACTTATTTGTAGCATTGTAAGTAACAATATGAATATTGCTTTGCCACCAAATCCATTTTCAAATTTCTATATAACATATATAGGTCTAGCTTATTCCCCCAGGAAACTCTTGGTTTGAAGGACAGGATAATTTTTAAGTTTTCTTTTAGTCAACAAAATTATATACATTTTTGGGATACGTTGCAATTTTTGATATGTGTTTATCATGAGGAATATTAGATCAGAATTATTAGCAAAACTGCCACAAATTTACATTCACAGTAACACTGAAAGTCTAGGGGTTTTGAAATTTTGCTTTACAAGATGCATTAATATTCATCACAATCACCCTCATGTGCACTAGAGCAGTGCTGCTAACTTTACCCATCTAACTGAAACTTTCCACCCTTTCATTAGCTATCATCCTTCTCACCCCCAGCCACCTCTGCCATAGCATCTGGAAGCCATTCTACTCTTTAATTGTAGATCCTTGTTGATTTTGATTATATGCATCATCGTGGTGTGGTGTTTTCATTCCTGTGTCTGGCTCATGTCACCCATTCATGCTCTTAGCCACCTTAACAGCATATTCTAAGCCATGAGTAGAGGGCATCTCCACAGACCTGGGCTGCCATTGTATACTTAGAATTCCAACCCCAAACCCTGAGTTAGAAAGAATAAAGGGGCTAGCAGGATATGTCTCACATTTTTTCCATTTCTATTGCATAACAGTTTCTTTATCTGTAAAGGATTTATTGAGCTTTAATGTTGCAAAAAATAAACAGAAAAATGAATTTACCTCCAGTGTGTGAATACCCTGTTGAGTAGCAATAGTGATGTGAAAAGCATTTTCCATAGGCATGTCTGCAGCCCATTTTGTGGAACAACAGCATTGAATTGAAGTTAGTGGAGGAAAGTGCTTATTTTCATTTTTATTTTACTTCAACAGTAGACTGCATTTTAGGCCTTTGTTGTTCCACAGATAAAGCTAGCTTTTGAATAAAATCTCCTCT